ATCTTGCGTATTTACTACACCGTGGTAAACAAAAGACAAACAAACAAATACGGCACTCAAACACGCCAAGAACCAGGACTCGACCCCCCGTTACGCACACACACACACACACACGCACACATGGCAAATGTAGTTCCCATTTTTAAAAAAGGAGACAGAAAAGAGGCACTAAACTATAGACCTGTGTCATTGACGTGTATAGTATGCAAAATTATGGAGAAGATTATCAGGAGGAGAGTGGTGGAGCACCTGGAACGGAACAAGAGTATAAATGCCAACCAGCACGGATTCACGGAAGGCAAATCCTGTGTCACAAACCTTCTGGAGTTTTATGATAAAATAACAGAAGTAAGACACGAGAGAGAGGGGTGGGTTGATTGCATCTTCTTGGACTGCAAGAAGGCCTTTGACACAGTTCCTCACAAGGGGATTAGTGCAGAAGCTAGAGCTTTAGGCGCATTATAACAGGAAGGGCACTGCAATGGATCAAGAATACCAGACAGGGAGGCAACAACGAGTCATGGTAGTAATGATGTATCACGTGGGCACCTGTGACGAGCGGGGTCCCACAGGGGTTTGGGCTAGGACCAGTGCTATTTTTTTGGTATATGTGAACGTCATTGATGGAAGGGTCAGACTCAGAAGTGTCCCTGTTTGCAGATGATGTGAAGTTAATGAGGAGAATTAAATCTGATGAGGACCAGGCAGGACTTCAAGAAGGAGACTGGACACCTGGTCCAGCAAATGGCTTCTCGAATTTAATCCTGCCAAATGCAAAGTCATGAAGATAGGGGAAGGGCACAGAAGACCACAGACAGAGTATAGGCTAGGTGGCCAAAGACTGCAAACCTCACTCAAGGAGAAAGATCTTGGGGTGAGTATAACACCGAGCATGTCTCCGGAAGCACACATCAATCAGATAACTGCTGCAGCATATGGGCGCCTGGCAAACCTGAGAAACAGCATTCCGATACCTTAGTAAGGAATCGTTCAAGACACTGTACACCGTGTATGTCAGGCCCATACTGGAGTATGCAGCACCTGTTTGGAACCCGTCACTTGATAAAGCACGTCAAGAAACAGAGAAAGTACAAAGGTTTGCCACAAGGTTAGTTCCAGAGCTAAGGGGAATGTCCTATGAAGAAAGATTAAGGGAAATCGGCCTGACGACACTGGAGGACAGGAGGGTCAGGGGAGACATGATAACGACATATAAATACTGCGTGGAATAGACAAGGTGGACAAAGACAGGATGTTCCAGGGAGGGGACACAGAAACAAGAGGCCACAATTGGAAGTTGAAGACACAAATGAGTCAGAGAGATATTAGGAAGTATTTCTTCAGTCATAGAGTTGAAAGGCAATGGAATAGCCTAGAAAATGACGCAGTGGAGGCAGGAACCATACACAGTTTTAAGACGAGGTTTGATAAAGCTCATGGAGCGGGGAGAGAGAGGGCCCAGTAGCAACCGGTGAAGAGGCGGGGACAGGAGCTAAGACTCGACCCCTGCAACCACAAATAGGTGAGTACAAATAGGTGAGTACACACACACACACATGCGCGGACGGACGGAACGAGGCTATCCAGATCCCTTGTAACTAGTATACTATCATCCAGGTCACTGGTAACTAGTATACTATCATCCAGGTCACTGGTAACTAGTATATTATCATCCAGGTCACTGGTAACTACTACACTACCATCCAGGTCACTGCTAGCTAGTATACTATCATCCAGGTCACTGGTAACTACTTTGCTACCATCCAGTTCACTGGTAACTAGTATGCTACCATCCAGGTCACTGGTAACTAGTATACTATCATCCAGGTAACTGGTAACTAGTATACTATCATCCAGGTCACTGATACCTAATATACAACCATCCAGGTCACTGGTAACTACTATACTACCATACAGGTCACTGGTTAGTATACTGCTATCCAAGTCACTGGTAGCTAGTACACTACCATCCAGGTCACTGATAACTAGTATACTATCATCCAGGTAACTGGTAATTAGTATACTACCATCCAGGTCACTGGTAATTAGTATACTATCATCCAGGTCATTGGTAACTAGTATACTATCATCCAGGTCACTAGTAACTAGTATACTACCATCCAGGTCACTGGTGACTAGTATACTATCATCGAGGTCACTGGTAACTAGTATACTATCATACAGGTCACTGGTAACTAGTATACTATCATACAGGTCACTGGTAACTAGTATGCTACCATCCAGGTCACTGGTAACTTGTATACAATCATCCAGATCACTGTCAACCAGTATACAACCATCCAGGTCACTGGTAACCAGTATGCAACCATCCAGGTCACTGGTAACCAGTATACTACCATCCAGGTCACTGGTAACTAGTATACTACCATCCAGGTTACTGGTAACTAGTATGCAACTATTCAGGTCACTGGTAGCTAATATACCATCCAGGTCACTGGTAGCCAGTATACAACCATCCAGGTCACTGGTAACCAGTATACAACCATCCAGGTCACTGGTAACCAGTATACAGCCATCCAGGTCACTGGTAACCAGTATACAACCATCCAGGTCACTGGTAGGCTGTATACAACCATCCAGGTCACTGGTAACCAGTATGCAACCATCCAGGTCACTGGTAAGTAGTATACTACCATCCAGGTCACTGGTGATCAGTATGCAACCATCCAGGTCACTGGTGATCAGTATACAACCATCCAGGTCACTGGTAGCTAGTATACAACCATCCAGGTCACTGGTAACCAGTATACAACCATCCAGCTCACTGGTAACCAGTATACAACCATCCAGCTCACTGGTAACCAGTATACAACCATCCAGCTCACTGGTAACCAGTATACAACCATCCAGGTCACTGGTAGTTACTCCAGGATCACTCCAACATACCTCAGGACAAAGATTAATCCTTCGAGTCACTGCAGGAGTGTTATCCTCAACAGGATTATCAGTGTAATTTAAATGAGATGTTAAACCCTCTGGGGTCCTTCAAGGAGTGGTGGAGGCTTGATCTTCCGTCACCTACCGGCGACTTGCAACTCACAGTAGGTAACGCAGCTTCGTGACTAGGAACAGCAACACACTGGTACCACGACGGTTGCTGCCACTTGACTGATCAAAGAGAAGGACCGCAATCAGAGGTCGGAAGATCAAGCCCCCAGTTCCTCAAAACCTCAAGGTGATCCATGCGGGTTTAGCGCCGCACGACACACAATCATGCTCTGTCTTCACTGGTTCAGTACATGACCGCTTGACACTGGTTGGTTCAGTTGTGACTGGTCCAGGTGTTGGAAGAACGACGACTGGTCCAGTTGTTGGAAGAGCGATGATTGGTCCAGTTGTTGGAACAATGATGATTGGTCCAGGTGTTGGAACAACGATGGTTGGTCCAGTTGTTGGAACAATAATGATTGGACCAGTTGTTGGAAGAGCGATGATTGTTCCAGGTGTTAGAACAACGATGATTGTTCCAGGTGTTAGAACAACGATGATTGTTCCAGGTGTTGGAACAACGATGGTTGGTCCAGGTGTTGGAACAACGATGGTTGGTCCAGGTGTTGGAACAACGATGGTTGGTCCAGGTGTTGGAACAACGATGGTTGGTCCAGGTGTTGGAACAACGATGGTTGGTCCAGGTGTTGGAACAACGATGGTTGGTCCAGGTGTTGGAACAACGATGGTTGGTCCAGGTGTTGGAACAACGATGGTTGGTCCAGGTGTTGGAACAACGATGGTTGGTCCAGGTGTTGGAACAACGATGGTTGGTCCAGGTGTTGGAACAACGATGGTTGGTCTAACTCTCGTCGTTAATATCGTCTTAATAATGATTCTTGGTGAGGGCATCGCTGAGTCGAGGGCATCGCTGAGTCGAGGGCATCGCTGAGTCAAGGGCATCGCTCAGGATCGACCAATTTTCTGACTTGACCCGTGTCAGGGGTTAATCAACCTTGTAGGAATAGTAAGGATGATGATGGAGTCTTGAGAGGTCATGTCCATAAATCTGAGAGAATTCTCGGCGTCTGGAGATAAAGAGCCGCCCAGCCTGCGGGAACACCAGGCCTCTCCGACCACCACGAAGTAATATTGGCAGATCTGAAGCTACTGAATGAGATAATGTACTACCAAGAAGTGTTAAGAAAATTAAAGAAGCTGTAGAAGGTTTTATTGGGAGTACATCTCGCTTTGTGTAGAGTGCAATAAATCACAACACAGCAAAGTGGTCTATAATAAAGGTAGCTGTGTACCTATTATCTTCCCACCATACTCGGCGACAATACTTGTCCTCATACACATAGTACCTCAGAATTCATAACTAAAACTAAATACTAGGGAAGTTTTTTGTGTGTCGACATTACGACAGAGGAAAAAGTCGAGATTCACCAAAATCTCGTAGCTGGGAGAAGAATTCCCTCAGACGATGCTTTGCTTCATTATGGAGCATTGTAAAGTTACAACTGGGGAGAGAGAAGTAGAGAAGGCCAGAAGACCATACGGATGGTAGGAGGGGGGAGTGGTAGTAGGAATATCTGACGTCATTGCACACTACCAATTGTTTGCGTCCTATTCCCATTGTAGTGTTTGTTGATCTGGTAGACTTGAAGCAGTTGCAGTTACCTGGTGAACTAATGTTTCATGGCTGCTAATCCACGCATCATTACGACAGATAAGGTGAACCTTTTTCTTCAGAACAACGAAAATGAACTTTGACTTTCAGAGCAACGAAATCAAAGCGATGAAACTTGCAGCAGAGGTCCTATCTATCAGCACCACGATGTCACTGCCATCTATCTCTCTATCACCAATGTAAACCCTCTTGGGTTTTATATTTCGCGTCAGGCCACCCTTATATTCTGACTTGAGGACTGACTAGAGTCAGTCGGGAAATGGTCACACCAAGACACAAACTTAACCTATATATATATATATATTATTATATATATATATATATATATATATATATATATACAGGTTAAGTTTGTGTCTATATATTTATATATATATATACCTGTCTCCTCATTAATATTATAGCATGAGTATGTATCTGATACGTGAAGATTAAATCTCCTCTCTAACATCTAGCGGGTAAATATAGGTTAAACAGGGAGCATGAAGAGTTTATATATGTAGGTCCGTCTTCGAGGTCCTTGTGAGGCGGTGGTGGTCGTTGTAGCTGAGTAGTTCTTCAGATGGACGCCCATGGCGGCAACACCAGGCAGTGAATGGAGCTCTGATGCTTACATGGTTCGTTCCTGCAACACAGGTGAAAGATGAGATGGTCCGTTCCTGCAACACAGGTGAAAGATGAGATGGTCCATTCCTGCAATACAGGTGGAAGATGAAATGGCCCATTCCTGTAACAGAGGCAAAAGCTAAGATGGTTTGTTTCTGGAACACAGGCAAAGAGTTTAGACTGTTCGTTCCTGTAACACAAAGAAAAGTTACAATGACTTACACCTGCAACACAGACAGAATTATCAATGGCCTGCTCCTGCAACACAGAAGGAAGTCTTGATGGCCTGCTCCTGCAACACAGACAGAAGTCTCGATGAGCAGCTAGAGGAATACAGAGAGGTCTCGATGGCCTGCTCCTGCAACACAGAGAGAAGTCTTGATGGCCTGCTCCTGCAACACAGAGAGAAGTCTTGATGGCCTGCTCCTGCAACACAGAGAGAAGTCTTGATGGCCTGCTCCTGCAACACAGAGAGAAGTCTTGATGGCCTGCTCCTGCAACACAGAGAAGTCTTGATGGCCTGCTCCTGCAACACAGAGAGAAGTCTTGATGGCCTGCTCCTACAGCACAGAGAGAAGTCTTGATGGCCTGCTCCTGCAACACAGAGAGAAGTCTTGATGGCCTGCTCCTGCAACACAGACAGAAGTCTTGATGGCCTGCTCCTACAACACAGAGAGAAGTCTCGATGGCCTGCTCCTGCAACACAGACAGACGTCCATCTTCTCCCTGGCAACTTAACTGTACTCTAGATGTAAACAATGTCTTCCATTCTGCCTCTCACCTGAGCAATCACAGAAGTGTAGACATTCTCCTCCGTGTCTCTGTACCTGGTGCTGAAGGCGCGGCAGGTGTAGCGGCCGTAACTCTCTTGGTTTACCTCCCAGATCAACAGATCCCCGTTGCTCAACACCTGTAACATACACACACACACACACACCTATTGTTAGTCACGTTGTGCTAGCCTAACAAGTTTACTGTGCCGTCGTCTCTCTTGTTCTGTTTCCGACCTGATCATGAACCGTGTTCTTTGAATGTAAAACAACTTTAAACCATAGTCTGTTTTCTTTTAATGTGAATTACTTTTAACAATGAACTGTTTTCTTTGAGGGGGAATATTTCTATTCTGAAGGGTAAACTTTTTCCCGTTCTTGCAACAGAAGTAAAATCTAAGATGGTTTGTTTCTTGAACAAAGACAAAGAGTTTAAACTGTTCGTTCCTGTAACACAAGAAAAACTCGCAATGACCTGCACCTGCAACACAGACAGAAGTCTGGATGGCCTGCTCCTGCAACACGGACAAAAGTCTGGATGGCCTGCTCCTGCAACACAGACAGAAGTCTGGATGGCCTGCTTGATAACAACCAATGTGTTAGTTACCTGGTAGTTGCTGTTGTCGAGAGGCAGAGGAGAGTTGTTGATGAGCCAGGACTGCTGTGTGGAGAGACCTTGGACTCTACAGGGCAGGGTGAGGGTGGCCCCGAGCTCTGCCCTGGCTTCAGGGGAGTACAGGTACGTACGAGGCAGGTAATTGATCACCGTAGCGAACCTGCAGCTGCGGCCGTTCTGGCCTCGTCCTAACAACGCAAGGAGGAGGAGGAGAACGTGCCAGAGACTCAGGAAGATGTGCAGGAGACGCAAGAAAAAGTTCATGAGATGCAGGGAGACGTATAGGAGACACGGGACGTGCAGAAGCAAGAGGAGATTAGGAGACGCAAGAGGGAGTGTAGGAGACGTAAGAGTGTAGGAGACGCAAGAGGAATGTAGGAGTCGTAAGACGGAGTGTAGGATACGCAGGAGGGAGTGTAGGATACGCAGAAGGGGTGGAAGAGGAGGAGAAATTGGAAGAGGGTGAGGAAGGGAAACAAGAGGGTGAAATAGTGAGAGGAAGACAACGAGAAAGTGGAAGAGGACAAGAAAGAAAGCGGACCAAGGGAAACAAACAAGGACAACATATTAGTATCACCACTATCCTTGACTCACATGCCTTAATAATAAATGAAAGTCCTTAATCTAAGTAGGAGCAGCTAGTTCTTCTCAGCAGACAGCCTCGAAGTAGACTTCCAGACTCTCTGCTGTCTTTCCCTATGTACTTCCATGTACACTCATGTACTACCATGTACTACACTCATATACTTGTACTCCCATGTACACTCATGTACTTCTATGTACTAAACTCATATACTTCCATGTACTCTCATATATTTCCACGTACTCCAATGTATCCAATGTACTTCCAAATATTGCCATGTACTCCCATAAATAACGAAAAAAGGCACAATACCATAACTGGAACAATACACAAATAACCCTCTTTCTGTTAGTGTGACTGTAAATGGTCCAAGACGGACCAAGACGTCGTCGTAAACTCCTACGTGCGGGTCATCTGTGTAAAATACTCCCATGTTTAACTAATATAATTAACCCTAAATTTAACTTTAGGATCAAGAGGGTTGAATCCCATTTTAACATAATAATAATATGTTAACTAATGTTATTATTGTTGTAGCCTTAAAATAAAAGAATATATTTCCTGCATTTTAAAGGATACAGTAGAGAAACATAGTTCCTATAAGGGATACAGTAGAGGAACATAGTTCCTTTAAGGGATACAGTAGAGGAACATAGTTCCTTTAAGGGATACAGTAGAGGAACATAGTTCCTTTAAGAGATACAGTAGAGGAACATAGTTCCTTTAAGAGATACAGTAGAGGAACATAGTTCCTTTAAGGGATACAGTAGAGGAACATAGTTCCTTTAAGGGATACAGTAGAGGAACATAGTTCCTTTAAGAGATACAGTAGAGGAACATAGTTCATTTAAGGGATACAGTAGAGGAACATAGTTCCTTTAAGGGATACAGTAGAGGAACATAATTTCTCTGCGTAAGGTATCAGGGGGTAGGTGGTGCCATCTTGCTGTTAGGATACATGAGACGTTTAGGAACAAGCTTTTTATTCAGGACAACGTTTCGCCCGGAGCTTCATCGAGTCTTCAGTGACACTACACTGAGCGAAAAGCTGTCGCGAACTCACCAGCTGGTGTCCACTGCAGTTACCAGATGGTGCTGCCACTACCAATCATCCGCTGGTGCTACTACTACTACTACCCGTCACCAGCTGGTGCTACTACAACCACCCCCTCACCAGCTGGTGCTACTACCAACTGGCATTACTACTAGCTGGCGCTACTACCCACCTATGAGCTGGACGGTGAAGTTACGGGAGTAGACAGCGTTGGACGGTGTAGTGACTTCGATGCTGTAGTCAGCCTGGAGAAGACACAGGACAGAACCCTCATATAGAACTCCCACAGCATAACTACGGAGTAACTACCTCCCACAGCATAACTGCAGAGTAACTACCTCCCACAGCCTACCTATGGAGTAACTACCTCCCACAGCATAACTACAGAGTAGCTACCTCCCACAGCATAACTGCAGAGTAATTACCTCCCACAGCATAACTACAGAGTAATTACCTCCCACAGCATAACTACAGAGTAATTACCTCCCACAGCATAACTACAGAGTAATTCCCTCCCACAGCATAACTGCAGAGTAATTACCTCCCACAGTATAACTACAGAGTAATTACTCCCACCGCATAACGGCAGAGTAATTACCTCCCACAGCATAACTACGGAGTAATTCCCTCCCACAACATAACTAGAGTAATTACTTCCCACAGGATAACTACGGAGTAATTACCTCCCACAGGATAACTACGGAGTAATTACCTCCCAGCATAACTACGGAGTAATTACCTCCCACCATAACTACGGAGTAATTACCTCCCACAGCATAACTACGGAGTAATTACCTCCCACAGCATAACTACGGAGTAATTACCTCCCACAGGATAACTACGGAGTAATTACCTCCCACAGGATAACTACGGAGTAATTACCTCCCACAGGATAACTACGGAGTAATCACCTCCCACAGGATAACTACGGAGTAATTACCTCCCACAGGATAACTACGGAGTAATTACCTCCCAAGGATAACTACGGAGTAATTACCTCCCACAGGATAACTACGGAGTAATTACCTCCACAGGATAACTACGGAGTAATTACCTCCCACAGGATAACTACGGAGTAATTACCTCCCACAGGATAACTACGGAGTAATTACCTCCCACAGGATAACTACGGAGTAATTACCTCCCAGCATAACTACGGAGTAATTACCTCCCACAGCATAACTACGGAGTAATTACCTCCCACAGCATAACTACTGGATGACGACTACTCACAACGTGATGCTGGTCAGCACAGTCTAGGTAGACGAGAGAGACATAAAGGAGCCTGGCAGAGGCTCCCTCGGCTGCAGGAGACACCAGTGGAGCTCCACGGTACTCCACCATGTTGGTCTCCTCCTCTAGTACCTCCAGGGTGGAGGGGGCGTGGCTCACCTCCAGGGGCGCGCCCTGGCCAGGGAGAAAAAAATATTAATTTTTGCTATATATATGTCGTGCCGAATAGGCAAAACTTGCGATTTGGGCTTAAATAGCAACGCTCTTCTTGCCGAATAAGGCAAGCGAAAATTTGTGTATGCAATAATTTTGCAAAAATCATTCTGAACCTAAAGAAAGAAAATACATTTCATTGTGTTTGTTTATTATTAAATTAAGAACTTATTTAAAATATATTTAGTTGGATTAGGTTTAAATTAAATTGCGCTTATTATAAATAAGGCTAGGTAAGTTTTCCTAAGGTTTCTTTTGGTACAAAATTATTTATTACGAACTGAAAAATATACATCTTTAAACGTATAAGATAAAATTTTAGAAATGACTTAATTTTAAATGAGATCTTGCTAACTGACCAGTTTTACGTATTCGGCACGACATATAAATATAGTTGAGTTCTTGAAAATGTCAGTAGTCACGAAAGCGCTTGGAATTTCACTACTCTTTCACAGTGGTTGTTTTGCATGTTTTAAAATCACCTGTTTACTGTGATCTTATTGTATATATATATATATATATATATATATATATATATATAATATATATATATAAATATATATATATAATATATATATATATATATATACACGGATGGGTGATGAGAGGTAAACTGGTTTGATACAAGGGAAGAGCAGTGATAGTATAGCTAGGCCATGTGATTTTATATGACGGGAGTGCCGCACTTGGCAGCTACCAGAGTGCCACACCTGGCAGCTACCAGAGTGCCACACCTGGCAGCTACTAGAGTGCCACACCTGGCAATTACCAGTGCTACACCTGGCAACTACCAGAGTGCCATACCTGATACATACCTGACGTTGGAGCAGCTGGTTGTTCTTGTACCAGGTAATGTGAGTGCCAGAGGGTGCCAGTACGTCACAACGCAGAGCAGTATCCTGTTTCTGTCTCACCAACACCAGCCGAGGGGAACACTCTCTCTGCCACGCTATCTCTGTGCTGCTGCTGGTGGTGGTGCTGCTGCTGCTGCTGCCTGCGGTGGTAGTGGTGGAGAGGGGTAGTTGCGGTGGTGGTAGTGGTGATGAGGGGTAGTTGCGGTGGTGGTAGTGGTGATGAGGAGTAGTTGCGGTGGTGGTAGTGGTGATGAGGGGTTAGTTGCGGTGGTGGTAGTGGTGATGAGGGGTAGTTGCGGTGGTGGTAGTGGTGATGAGGGGTAGTTGCGGTGGTGGTAGTGGTGATGAGGGGTAGTTGCGGTGGTGGTAGTGGTGATGAGGGGTAGTTGCGGTGGTGGTAGTGGTGATGAGGGGTAGTTGCGGTGATGGTAGTGGTGATGAGGGTAGTTGCGGTGGTGGTAGTGGTGATGAGGCGTAGTTGCGGTGATGGTAGTGGTGATGAGGGGTAGTTGCGGTGGTGGTAGTGGTGATGAGAGGTAGTTGCGGTGGTGGTAGTGGTGGCGAGGGGTAGTTGCGATGGTGGTAGTAGTGAGGGGGTAGTTGGGGTGGGGGTAGGGGTGATGGGGGTATTTTGCGGTGGGGTTTTGGGTGATGAGGGTAGTTCCCGGTGGTGGAAAGTGTTTGGTGGGGGGTATTTTGGGGAAAGGGGGTAGTGGTGATGGGGGGTTTGGTTGGGGTTTGGGGGTTTAGGGGTGTTTGAGGGGTATTTGCGGTGGGGGTAGTGGTGATGAGGGGTAGTTGCGGGGGTGGAGTGGTGGTGAGGGGTGTTGCGGGGGTGGAAAGGGTGTGGGGGGAGTTGAGGGGGGTGGTAGTGGTGATGAGGGGTAGTTGCGGGGTTTTGGTAGTGGTGTTTGAGGGGTATTTTGCGGGGTGGAAGTAGGGTGGGGGGTGTTGCGGTGGGGGTATGGGGGAAAAAGGGGGAGTTGCGGTGGTGGTAGGGGGTGGCGGGGGGTATTTGCGATGGTGGAAAGGGGTTTGAGGGAGGGGTAGTTGCGGTGGTGGTAGGGGTTGGGGGGTAGTGGAGGGGGAAGGGGTGTTGGGGGGTGGTGGTATTGGTGGTGAGGGTAGTTCCCGGGTTGGGGTAGTGGTGGTGAGAGGTAGTTTTTTCCGTGGTGGTATGGTGGGGGGGTAGTTGCGGTGGTGGTAGCGGAAAGTGAGATTTGTTGCGGTTGGGGGTTGGGTGGTGGTGGGGGGTATTGCGGTGTTTTTAGTGGTGATGGGGGGTAGTTGCGGTGTTGGTAGTGGTGGGGGGGAGGGTGGGTTGCGGTGTTGGTAGTGGTGATGGGGGGTATTCCCGGGTTTTGGTTGTAGTGGTGATGGGGAAGTTTTGGGGTTTTGGTAGGGGTGGTGGGGGGTAGTTGCGGTGGTGGTAGCGGTAGTGAGATTATTGCGGTTGGGGTTAGTGGTGGTGGGGGGGGTAGTTGGGGTTTTTGGAAATGGGGGGTGGGGAGTTTGCGGTGGTGGGTAGTGGGGGGGGGGGTATTGCGGTTTTGGGTAGGGGTGGTGAGGGGTGGGTTGGGTGGTGGAAAGGGTGGTGAGGGGTTTTTGTGATGGTGGGTATTTTGGTGGTGAGGGGTATTTTGCGGTGGGGGTAGGGGGTGGAGGAGGTAGTTCCCGGTGGTGGGTAGTGGGGGGGGGGGTAGTTGCGGTGGTGATAGGGGTAGTGGGGTAGTTGGTGGGTGGTGTAGTGGAAAAGGTGGTGGGGGGTATTGCGTGGGGTTTAGTGGTAGTGGGGGTAGTTTTAGGGGTTTGGAAATTTTGTGGTCGAAAGTATTTGGAATGGTGGTGGGGGTTAATTTTGGTCGTAGTGGTGGGTTTGTGGTAGTTTTGGTAGTGTAGGGGTTAAAATGGTGTGGGGATATTATCTTTTGGTGGGGGTAGGGGGTATTTTGGGCATTAGTATTTGGTAATGCGGGGGGGGAAGTAGTTGTCGTGGTGGGGTTATTGTGGGTTGGGGTAGTGGGGGAAAGTTTTGGCAGTATTAGGATAATGGGGGTGGGGGGTTTAGTAAGTAGATGTCGTGGTGGTGGAAAGTGCTATTTTGGGGGTTAGGGGTTTGGTAGTTGTGGAAAGTAGTAGTGAAGGGGCGGGGGGGGGTAGAGTAGTAGTTGTCGGGTGGGGTTAGTCTAGTTGTGGAAGTGGGGGGTATTTTGGCAGAGTAGTGATAATGGGGGTTGTGGGGTAGGGTAGAAAGTTGTTGGTGGGGGTGTGCTATTTTGGGTATGGGGTATTTTTGGCAGTATTTAAGTGGTAATGGCGGTGGGGGGTAGTAGTAATTTTGCGGGGGGGTTGTAGTGCTGGGTTGTGGTAGTGGTGGATTTTGTGGAAATTTAGTATTTGAAAATGGCGGGGTGGGGTTATAGTATTTGTCGTGGTGGTGGTATGCTATTTTGGTGGTAGTGGTGGTAGTTGTGGCAGTAGTATGGTAATGGGGGTGGGGGGTTTAGTAGATTAGTATTTGGTCGTGGTGGTGGTAGTCTAGTTGTGTTAGGGGTTTGGTATTTTTTGGATTTGAAAGTGGTAAGGGCGGTGGGGGGTAGTATGGTTAGTTTTGGTTTGGGGGGTATTGCTAGTTTTGGTAGTGGGGGTAGTTGGGGCAGTAGTAGTGATAAGGGCGGTGGGGGTTTGGGGGTTTAGAAATTTGTTTTTGGGGGTGGTAGTGCTAGTTTTTGGTAGGGGGTGGTAGTTGTGGCAGTAGTTGGTAATGGCGGTGTGGGGTAGTAGTGGGATTTTTCGTGGGGTGGAAAGTGCTAGTTTTGGTAGTGGGGGGAGTTGGGGCCCATTTGTAGTGGTAATGGCGGTGTGGGGTAGAAGTAGTAGTTGTCGGGGTGGGGGTAGTGCTAGTTGTGGTGTGGGATGGGTTTGGGGCAGAAATTTGTGGTAAGGGCGGTGGGGGGAAATTTAGTAGTTTTGTGGTGGGGGTTTAGGTAGTTGTGGTATTTGGGATAGTTGTGGCAGAAAGTAGTGTTTAAGGGCGGTGGGGGGAAAGTAGTAGAAGTTGTCGTGGGGTGGAATGCTGTTTTTGGTAGTGGTGGTAGTTTGGCAATTTTGGAGGGGTTTAATGGGGGGGTGTGGGGTATTTAGTATTGTTGTCGTGGTGGGGGTAGTGCAAATTTTGGGTAGTGGGGAATTGTGGCATTTAGTGTGATAATGGGGGTGTGGGGTAATAGAAAGTAGTTTGCCCGTGGTGGTGGTAGGGGGCTATTGGGGTATTGGTGGTATTTGGCGTAGTAGTGTAAGGGGTTTGGGGAAAGAAGTGTATTTTGCCCGGGGGTGGGGGTTAGGGGCTAGTTGGGGTAGTGGGGTTTAGTTGGGGCAGTGGGTTGGGGGTTTAAGGGGCGGTGGGGGGAAAGGTAGTAGTAGTTTTTTCGTGGTGGGGGTTTAGTGCTATTGTGGTAGTGGGGGGTAGTTGTGGCAGTATAGTGGTAATGGGGGTTTGTGGGGAAATAGAAAGTATTTTTTTGGGTCGTGGGGGTGGAAAGTGCTAGTTGAGGTAGTTTTTGGGTAGTTGGGCCGATTTGTGGTAAGGGGCGGTGTGGGGTAATGTAGTAGTTGTCGTGGTGGTGGTAGTGTAGTTGGGGTATGGTGGAGTTGGGGTGTCCGCTTTTTTAAAAATAACTGGGGTTTTTAAACTTTTTTTAAAAAAACCCATAAATAAATTATCCTCCTCCTTTATTAAAAAATCAATAAAACTTTTCCCTCCTCTATTAACATCAATAAAACATCCCCCTCTTTAAACCAAATTTTAATTCAGAAAATTTAAACATCCATTTTAAAAATTTTTATCTGTACTAAAAAAAAAACCCCAAAAGCAACTCAAAATTTCCAATAAATGAAAAAAAACGACCCAGATTCCTCTCGTGTCTTAAAACAATTTATCAGAAAATTTGCGTTTTCTAAACGTGATAAGATGGATGGTTATTTTTTTTTAATCCCGAAAAAACAATTTTAAAAACATTTGAAAAAACTGAAAAAATTTTTGTAAAATCTGAAGGGAAATATGTAAATATGTAAAGTGGGTGTTTCCCACTGTGTAGTGGTTTTAATTTCGTGTAAAATGAATTTTTTTACTACTGTGTAGTGGGTGTAAAATTTCTGTTTTATAAAGACTAAGTGTAGTGGTTTTACCTGTGTTGTGATGTTTTCTGTGTAGTGGTGTACTACTGGGTAGTGGTGTCTACTGTGTTTTTTTGGTTTACTAAATGTGTAGTGGGGGGTACCCACTGTGTAGTGGGGTACTCTGTGTAGGGTGTACTACTGTGTTTTTGGGTGTACTACGTTAGTGAGTACTACTGTGTATGGTTTTACTGTGTAGTGGTGGTTTCTTTCGGTAGTGGTGTAAATGTGTTTGTGGTTTTAACAAATGTGTAGTGAAAATACCCACTGTGTAGTGAAAGTACACGTGAGTGATGTACTTCTGTGTAGTGATGTACTAAATTTGTAGTGGGTACTACCTTTTGTAGTGATGTCCCACTGTGTTGTGGTGGGGACTATGGTAGTGATTTTACTTTTGTGTTGTGGTGTACTAAAGTGTATGATGTAACTACGTGTAGTGATGTACTCCCCTGTTTGGGGTGTACACTTTGTAAATGATGTACTTCTGTTATGGTTTTGTACTACTGTGTAGTGGGTTCTACTGTGTTGTGGTGTAATACTGTGTAGTGATTTTACTAATGTGTAGGATGTACAAATGTGTAGTGATGTATACTGTGTAGTGGGGTTTAATACTTTTTTTGTAGTTTAAAGTACTACTGGTAGTGATGTCCCATGGTGTGATGTACTAATGTGTAGGGGTGTACTACTGTGTAATGGTGTACTACTGTTTAGTGATTTTAAATAAATTTTGTAATTTATGTACTACTGTGTGTGGGGTTTACGTGTAGTATGTTCTACGGGTAGTGATGTACTACTGGTAGTGGTGAAATGTGTTTGTGGGGATACTGTGTAGTGGTGTACTGTTTTAGTGGTGTACTACTGTTAGTGTGACTTTCTGTGTGTGATGTTAAAAGTGTAGTGAAGTATACTGTTAGTGATGAACTTGTGTATTTGGTTTTTAAAACGGGGTGTGATGTACTACTGT